TGAGACCTGCAATGCTTTATGGTGCAGAAAGTTGGCCATTAAAAGAGAAGCATAATATTAAGGTAAGTATTGCAGTGATGAGGATGCTCAGGTGAATGAGTGGCTTTATTGATGCAGGACTACGTAGATGAAATGCACTTTAATTCATATGGATCTTGCACAACTTATGATTAGAATAATGTTTGAACAAAATTACTTGCGAATTCAAACAATGAGTCAAAATGATTAGTGGTTATCCGCTTAGGCTAAATCACATGGTGAGAGCTTTGAAAACTTTCAAAATAATTAGAAAACAACACAATGAATAACAGTAGCTTTCAAAATAATCCCTAGTCTAATAATGAGAATCGGAAAGCATAGAGTTGCACTCAAATCCTACGTTTACTAAGCTTAAGCAAGAGCAATGCGCAAGAATCTGTCGTGATTGCAATCAAACCAAGGAGAGTTAGACTAAAAGGAATAAGATGCAAGGGGAAAGAGAAACCTCCGTCAGGGAGAGGTGGAAATCCTCCACTCGATGCCTTCGAAGTGTTTGTCGATAGCTTCCACCAAAGTATCTAGGATCCGCTCCAAGTAATCTTCAACGGTGTGGTCAATCCTCGGATTTACGTCGAAGAAAGTGGATCGTAGGATGTCGGTGAAACCGTCGTTGTCCCAAGTTATTTCATACTCAGTCTCTGGATCCGCCATTCATAGGTGCTAGGAGATGATTCTTCCAAGGGATACGTCTTCTTCACTATTGGGGAGAGAAAGTTTCTCGTCCACAGAAGGGAAAGGCGTAGTAAAGAATGTATCCCGGTCAAAATCTGAAATTAAATTTTAGATTTTGAGAGTCAAAGACAAGACCTTAGGAAGGAGAATCCAAGCCCTAAGTCTTGTAGAAAATTAAGTGGAGCGAGAGGGAGTTGAGAGAGAGGGCGGCTAGAGAGAAAAGGGAGGAAGGGGGCGGCAGGATGATGAGGGAAGGAGGGATTGATTTCCTAAATCAATTAATTAGTTTAGGAAATAATTTGGAGGAATTATGGGGATGGAAATTTCGGCCAAATTGGGGAGATGGGGTTTGGAAATATTTCCTAAAGCTAGACTAGAGTTTAGGAGATAATTAGGGAACATTTAATGGGATAGGAGAGAGGGGAGGCTGGCAGCATGCATGGGCAAGGGGGATTTAATGTGAGGTGACATGCTTGCCTAAATTAGATTTTGGGATTAGGAAAGTAATTAATTAAATCCAATTTGAATTTGAAATTCAAATAGAATTGATTTAGAAACTTTCCAAAAATAGAATTGTAAATTAGGAAAGTTTTCAAATTTCAAATTAGTTGAATTTGAATTTTGAAAATCTGCTCAAAATCAATCCATCCAAATTAGGCAAGGATTTTAATGGGGATGAGGAAGTGGGTGGGGGTCGGCAGCTAGATGATTGGGCCGGCAGTATGGGGGCTTGGGTTTGGTGTTGGGCCGTTGGCCGTGGGGTTAAGAGGAAGGGGAAGGGGATTCGGAGCGATGGAGATCTGACAGCTAAGTGAGGATTGATGGGAGGAATAAGGAAGGAGATAAAAGAATGAAATCATGAACCCGACTTATCTAGATTTGTGGGTATTGAGTAAATCTCCATATCTTAGGGATCTCTGTCCATTAGCTCGCTCAAGCTCTCAATACTCATGCAAGAAGATAAATTTTCAAAGTAATCATTCATTAACCATGAAATAATAAGCAAAGGGCTATATATAGCCAAGTACAATGGTGTCAAAGAAATAAAAGACCAAATTGCCCTTTGGGCTCATACATGACACTTCCCACTAAAGGGGTACAAACAGAAAGACCAAAATAACACTAAGCAAATATAAAATACATAAATAATGAAATGACAAAAAGGACTCAGAAATACAAAGACTTGATCGTGGCCATAGATCGGCGACCACGCCTTTGATAGACCTTCCATGAGCTGATGTCCCCATCATTTACTCTTAGAGATAATATACGATGAGCATATACGTGAAAAGGTTTGAGTAGCTCCAGCGGAAGATAAGATTAGAGAGAGTCGCCTTAGATGGTTTATTCACATAAAACAGCGGTCTTCCGATGACCCAATTATTAAAGTAGATGTATTAGATTTGACTTATGTTAAGAAAAGTAGAGGTGGTCCTAAAGAGACTTTGTTAGAAAATATTAGAAATAACATTTCTTTATTAGATTTAGATGAGAATTTGACTCTTAACAGAACATGATAGAGAAAATGGATTTATGTAGCTGATCCCACGTAGTGAGATAAAAAATTGATGTTGTTGTTGTTGTTGTTGTTGAATGTTGACTTGACTAGAGGACTAATTCAGCAAAAAATTTAAACCCATTTAATTGTATTGTTTAATTTTGTTAGTTTGACGCTTGTCTTAATTTGATTTCTCTATCATGATTGCAACAATAATTTGGAAAATTAATACCATGATTCTTAATATACATGCTAAATAAGAGTAGTATGCCAAATTTTATAAAATCTATTGAACATTTATTTATGAATCAAGTTTGCAATTCTAACAACTTAATGGATGTTCTAGATTTTGAGATTATAATTCATTAATTTATATTTTATAGGTTTTAAAATCAAATGAAAGTTTTTATCATGTAGAATGCAACTTCTAGAACAATTTCATTGCCTTTGACTAAAAAATGTAGTACTTTTTGAGAGGTATTACCAGTCATCCATCTCTTAATCAAATTTGGGCAATGTTAAATATTCCTAAAAATATATCATATTGGATCACTAAACTATTCCTAGATTATCAGTGAACATTAATGATCTTGATCTTACATTTACAGATTATAATAAAAAAACATAATTGCATGGAGACTGAGGATTGTAGGATAAACATGTAAATGAATTTGCTGCATGGGGATAGACCACTATCCTTTTATATACAGACGTTTTTGACATGATTTTATTTTTTCTTATTTTTTGAATCAAACAACATCTGCATGGCAAAAGAAGACGTTCTCCTTAAACTTCTATATTAAATCATGACATCAAATTTCATTAAATTTCAATTAGGTTTTATCATGCATCAAGCATACAAAAGTAAAAGCTTAACGAACAATCTAGATAATGAACTAAGGTTGCCTTTTACTTCAGGATGTTTGTTACTCAAATCAAATGAAAAATTTTGATCATGCATTCAAAGAAAACAAATTTCATTTGATTTTATTTTAAAAAAATATGTAAAAGTAGTTTTTTTTTTAGCGAGGGCCCTTACAAGCTCTGTTCTTTCATGAAATTTTTTTGTCAAATCATTATTAAAAGTAATCAAAATTTATCATTGGTTCTTTCATTACAAATCAACATCAATCATCTTGGTCTTGCAACTGATGACAAAAACATAAAAAAATAATTGTGCTAGAATACTCTTTTTTTCACATAAAAGGATAGTAATTTCTCTCTCTATATGTACACACTCACATATGGAAAGATACAAATCTATCCTAAATATTTTATTGATTGAAAGTAGGGCACAAGGCTTGTTTCATATAAGTTGGCATGCGACCAACTATAGATTAAGGACATTAGGTCAATTATAGATTGAATTTCATGCACGGAGCTAGTGAACATTTTTAAATGAACTTCCTAGGCTGGACAATGTCAATCTTTGGAACAAAGAGCGCTTTGGTTTAGCTAGTTATATATAAGCAGGTATGAGATCAATGATAAATAAGGACACTTGGTCAATAATAGATGGAATTCCATTCATGAAGCTAGTGAACATTTAGTAAAATAACTTTACTGGTTGAAAAACCTCTATCTTGGGAACCGTGATGCTGATTACTTGACCTAGAAGCTTTTTGGCTTATGTTTGAACGCTACACACACATGCTCTTCTTCTTACAGCCCAATGCTTGTTTTTCTTCTTTACCTCTCACCTTGTAGTTGTCACTTTTTTTTTTCCCGAGAATCCTCTCCACAGCTCTATAATAACTGCTATCCTCTTTTGCTGAGTTGTTAGAATCCTTGTGCCTGCCCTTACTGCTGATGCTATTGTATCTCATCATCCTATTCCCATGATTCCTTGTTGCCACCAATGCCATAATTGTTAGAACTCTCCCCACTCATGCTATGATTTCTCTCAGTCAAACTTTGTTGTTCCGCACCCCTTCCTAACTGCAGCTTTTTTTGGGATTTTATTTTCTCTCTATGAGCTTGTGCATTCTCGTACTGAGAGACCTTTTAGCCTCATAATTCATGGATTGGCAGGAGCCATACTTTGTTACGTAGCCTTGGTGATGGTAAATCTGGTGAGGCAATCCCTGTTCATCATATATGGTTCATCTCTCATATTTCTTTTTTGTTTTTTGTTTTTGTTTTTCCAGATAATTTCCATCTCTTTTTTTTTTTTTGGAATAAAATTGAGACAGTTTTGGTTAATTCAATACTTGGTAATGATGTGGAAGTGGCTTTTGAGTCCGCACGGGATCAACCTTTTCCTATCTGAGCCTTCCAAATCTTCATTCTGATACAATTTTGCTTTGGGTTTCTGCATCAGGGTAACAAAAATTTGAGCCAGACCTATTTCCATGCCTAGCATACTTTGGACTTAATCGTTGATTGTACATGCTAAAATACTACAGCGACTTAAGAAAATAATATTCCATTAGGAGATGTTAGTTTTAAGATTGTTTAAGTGCTATAAGTGTAGGAAGTAGGAACTAACATTACTATTTTGCATGTGGTTGTATTCATTACGTAAGCCATGTACATAAAACGTTCTTAAATGCCAAAAGCCTTGAACGAATTGGAGAGTGCAGTGAAGGTTAGGCATCAATAGTTGGGGTTGTACTAGATTGAATAATTTATATAAATAATGCATCGATGAACTGTTATTGTGATTTAACTGTGAACATGGTTGATATATGAAACTAATGCAGTTAAGAGGTTCTGAAGTATTGACCTATTGTCAGACTACTGTTTGACTGATTAATTGTTATTGACTACTTTCAAAATTCATTGCCTGCAGCCTTCAAGAAAAGGAACTCCTTTCTGAACAGCAAACAGTGTTACGACAGTTAGAAGCAATTTTATCCATCCATAAGTTAGCCAGAGCTGGGAAATATGTAGATGCTGTGAGGGAAGTAACTAAGTTAACTTTTCTTCCACTGAATCCGAGGATTCCTGATGTTACAATGGATGTAAATTTATCTCCACTTGTCCGGGCATGTGTACCAGATCTTCTTAAGGCTGCTCTTAGTTCTGCAGAAAATATACCAGATACTGATGGAACAATCCGAGCATTCAAGTCAAAGGTATGCTAGTTATTTTCGATGTTATACTTCCTAAAGTTGATGTATCATGATGGCCTAGGCTGGAGTAAAAGTGAAATGGATTTCTGTTTTGCATATTAAAGTTCTAAACATTGGGATAAGGCTAATGATGATGATATTAAAGGCCAAATACAACATAATAAGAGTTTTTCATTTAGACCATGACTTATTAAGAGTAGTGAACTTTCTGGGTTGGCAAATGGGCATAATGCTGATGTTTAGAGCCCAAGGGACAGAATGAGAAATTGATATGCATATACATTTATATTAATGGTAAAATATTGTATATAAATTTATGGTATAATAAAGTGTAATCCATTATGTTATATAATACATAGTTATATGTGTCACATACATGTGCTATATGCATAAGTTATATATGTATATAATATATAATGTGTTGCATAATTTTACGTATACAATATGTACATAAAGATATTATAAGTATGTGTTATACACTATATAAATAGTTGTAGAGTATGTATTTAGTTATCATTTGTAATGCATGTGTTTATGTATAATAATACACATTTATATTACCATAAAATATCTATTATAATATATTATTATAGATGTGTTATATAATTTATATAATACTTTGTTGTGATATGGTTACATGCAGCCCACCTAGTTCTGTTAGTTGAGAGCTTAGGATACCAGACAAGAGGTATTGAGTTTGAAGCTTGCATTTATGATGCGTGTGTGAATTTACATTTACTTTGCTCAAAAGTCTAAAACATATGTTTATAGCCAGCTGGGCATCATAATGTACTGTTCATTATTAAAAAAGGTTAATTATACCACTATCTAGTATGTGGTCTTTTTTTTTTCCTGTCTAATCAAGCCTTGTGATGACCCGGTTAGGAGAGTAGAGGTATTAGATTTGACTTATGTTAAGAAAGGTAGGGGTAGACCTAAAAAGACTTGGTTAGAAAATATTAGGAATGACCTTTCTTTATTAGATTTAAACGAGAATTTGACTTTTAATAGGACACAATGGAGAAAAAGGATTCATGTAGCCGACCCCACGTAGTGGGATAAAGGCTTGATGTTGTTGTTGTCGTCGTCGTCTAATAATTTGTTTCCTTGGTTTTTATGTTGAGCTAGGTTTCTTTTGGTTACCACTAACTTTTAAATGTTCATTTACGCTCAACTGGTTATTTGAAGCTTTTAGATGTTGCATTAAACCTTAACGTGGACCACTTATACAGCAGTTATCATTTTATTTAAGATGGGCGTAATTTTGTACTCCACACAGCATTGGTAGTATGATTTGCAGTTTATATTCTCTTTCAAAGATAATGCAGTAAATTACAACTGCAAAGCTTTGGTTAGCCCTTTCGTAAAAACTGTTTGCTAGTCCTTAATGATATCTTGGATCCCAATTTCATGACCAATATGCTAATTGTTTATAATACAGGAAGGTATGTTCTTTTTGTTATGATCGATGTTAACTTATTTTTGTAGAAACTGGGAATGTTTTCAAATAACCTTCTGATATGCTTTTGATCCATGCATTATTCCATATAGTAATAATTTGAAGAGTACATCTTGGGCTGAATTTAGACGTCGTATTTCAAATAATATGACTGATTATTTTATAGATGCTAAAGGTTTTCATCTTTTTGTATAATTTGCAGTTCTTTTAACTGCGTCTGCGCCATTAGGGATCATTTTGTTGTTTTTCATATTTAAACTCTTCGTAATTGTAGATTGATCCATAAGAAGAATAGTGTATAGCTTACACTGCGAATATGGATAAGCGTGGTCAGATTAAATTTAGGAAATAAAAGATAAGGGTGCCAGAGATCAGTGCCCATGTTTTCTATGCTCTTTCTATTCCTATACAAAGGGAAAGGGCCAGTGACAATTACTGTTACGTTGTTTTAACAGAGCCCACCTGGGAATTGTGTTTTCTAGACTCTGATTTCATAGGAAAACCTCTCCAAAGTAGCAATCTATTGATAGGAAGTAAATCAACAAAATCAGCGAACGGTAATACAAAATTCGGAATAAATATAGGCAAGATATGTGAAGAAAAACAAACAAGATACAATGGATCTTCAATTGGAGAGGAAGATCTGGCTCTCCCAATTCCCTAGCTGCCGACTAGAGCCCAATCAACCTAAGAACAATCTAAATTCAGCAAACAACACATAATCATAACCCTAAGAAAAACGCCCTACTTAAAGCATACAAAAATATCCTAAATTCCAATTGAGCCCTTTGTATTTGAATTCTTTCCCTTCTAGCAGCCGCCCCCTTTAATTGGATTTTAATACCCTCGGTTACACTTCAAAAAGGGCGGCCAATTAATAGGCGGAAGCTTGTTCTGCTCAAAACAGGTAGAAGCCTATTCCACCTCAATAGAGTCGGTCTAGGAAGGACCAGTTGGATCGATCCAGGAGGGACCGGTCTAACAATACCTCTCTCCCAAAGACTACCTTGTCCGCAAGGTGGACAGATGCCTCCTTCCTCAATTTCCTCGACATCACAAACGATGAGAACTTGAAGAGATCGATCCTTACATTGGTGCCCCGGTGTATACCTTTCCCCACATTTGAAACAAAGTCCATTCGCCCTCTCCTCATGTGACTCTATTTATGTAAGCTTCTTGAAGTTTTTCTCAGGTCTCCCTCCTACAATTTTCTCCTTCGGGGTCTCCCTAAGAGTACTCGATGTCATCTCCTTGTATGCCAAAAGTTGGCCGTCATTATGTACAAACCTCCCAAGCTGTTGCATCCAGCTCCTCTCTTCAGGTGCCTCTGATTGTCAACTAATTGGGCTAGCTCCATAGTCTCTACCAAATCACGAGGCCTCATCACTCTAATTGTCGCCCGAATATCTGCTTTAAGCCTTTTCATAAAGTTCCCATCCAGTATAGTCTTCGGAAGCCGGTCCAGTTTGTTGCTAGGTGCTCAAATTACTCATGGTATTTCACCACTGTCCTCTCTTCATTAGGGAAAAGAATTTCTCAGAGAAGTTGATGAGGACATCGTCAGAGATTTCGACACATGTACCATCGGAGACACCGGAGATCGACGGCTATGATCAGGAGCTTATATTTTTTGAGTCATTTATGTAGTAGTTTATTTTATTTTTAGTTTTTATTGTTTTACCCTTTTGGGTGGTCATTTGATGTTGTAGCCTCGAGGAAAATTTAGTCTTTGCTTCTTTTCTTTTTGATGAGACCTATATATATAAGTCATTTCTATTGTATTTGGGATGATGATTAATATGAAATTTCAGCTTTTTGTTTTGGATCTCTTTGTGAGTTCTAGAGTGAGTGGTGAAGCCTGGGAGAGGCTCAATTGAAGTACCCAACAGCCCTCTTTTTGAGAGCTCTTGGTTCCTATCATTTTCCTTCACTTCTTCCCTTCTCCCCTTGCCACCGGCTCCCCCAAACCGGCCACCAACCTGCCCCCTTCCCCTTTCCATTAACCACTGGATCCCGCCCCTCCCTCACCCGTCCACCCTTATTCCCACCTCCACCGAAATCAGCCCCACCCCGACCTCCTTGGATCCCCACCCACCGGCCCCCATTGCTCCTAACATTTGAATTTGAAATTCAAATTCAAAGAGATGTTATTACTTTCCTAATTTATCTTTTGTTATTTAGGAAGTTTTTAAATGGAATTCAATGCGAAATTTGAATTTCAAATCTTTTCCTAAACGATTACACCCAATTAGGAAACTGCTCAGTGCTAATCAAATCTGAATTTAAATTCAATTTGATTTAATTACGTATGCAATCAATTGGGCCCCACTTATATTGAACCTAGACACAAATTTGAATCCCCCATAGGGCCGACCCCCTCTCTCTCTCTCTCCACTTTGCCACCTAGGCAGCATTTAATGCCTCCTCCAATTAACTATCAATCCTCCCAATTATCTCTACCCGTTGGAATTGAAATTAAGTTCAGAAAATCTGAATCAATTTCCCTCCAATTCAAATTCAAACCTAGAACCCCCCCTCTTTTCCCTCAAACCTGATCTTCCTCACCCTTCTTTACCCGGCAGCTAGCTTATTTCCCTCCCACTGGAGCGTGCTGTCCAGAATTCAGCCAGCTAATCCTGCCGTTTTGACCGTCCTGAAGGCCCCTAGTGGCTTACCAAGACTCCCGGCCTCTACTAGTTGCCGTCTAGACTTTCCCAGGACTGTCGGGAAGTTCCTTCAGTTTTTCCCTGCTGTCCTAGAATTCCAGCCAAGGTAAATCTGGATTCATGCCGCCTAAACCCTTCAAACTGCTGGCTGCTATCTTACAACCTGCTGTCCGCTGCTTCTACAAATCTCCTAGCACCATACCTTCATCCGGAAGGTTCCAATTGATGTCCAGATCAAAAACTGCTGCTGTCTTGAAGATCCGCACCTTGTCTTGGCTATTCTGTGGTGCGAGGAAGCTCATGGTGGCTGTCTTAGTCATCCCGTGGAAGCCCTATCGCCGGCTACTTCCCCAACGGACTAGACTTTGGGCACCATTTTTGTCTTAGTGACATTGCTCGGCTTGCTCTCAATCGTCCTCCGTTAAAGCCCCACCGTCAAGAGCATGAGTGAGCGACCCAAGGTGAAAAGTTCTATTTGTTAACCACGCATTATTGTGTTTGCCATAACTATTACTCTCTCTATTTTTATGTTGTTAACTTGATGGCATCCCGTTAATCTAGTTGTAACTATATGCTTTGCATAGTCTATAATTGATAATTCCGAAAATCTAACTTGGATAAGCACTAAATCTATAACTAGCAAAATTTTAATAATCTTATATTAAAATTCCCAAGCAATTCTTGTTCATTTGCATGGTTTCACATCAAAAGTCCCCTCCCATGTTGGTTCAGAAACGTTTCAACAAGCAGTTCTTAAACTCTAGGTCCGTATAGATTGCCCCGTATCCCTCCACTAGTATCATGCCAATATTTTTCTCTCTAAGCACATTGTGGCCATAGTCAATCTTTCCTCTTCCATCAACCTATTGATGGTAAAGTGCCTTTCCACCCTGCAGATTCACCTATATGCATCATCTTCCTGAAAAATAGGCATCTTCAGCTTCCTCACCTTCAGATCTCCTCCCTTCCCCTTGTTTCTACTATAATTTTCCATTCCCCAGGGGATTGGTTCTCGCAAGTGTCCCAATTATCCTTTCTACACTTGTACCCAAACCTTTCATCAAATTCCCACATTCTACCTTCAAATTCAGCACCCTTTGGATCATAATCAGCCATTCTCCTTTCAAATTCGGTACATGTTCGATCATAATCAACTAATTTCCTTTAAAATTCAACACCCCTTCAATCATAATCATCCCCCAAATTCTGCCATCTCATTTCAAATTCCGCCCCTCTCATTTCAAATTCAGTACTTTGATTGATGGGCATTCTCATATCTTTGAATGGAATGAGCCTATCCTTTCTTTTATGTTCGTATTCAAAGCTATCAAAACTGATCTAACATCGAAATCTTAGGACTCTTCATACCAGAAAAAATAAAAAATTGTCAGATGTGAAAGGTGCAATTCATATATTATAATCTAGATAAAGAAGTTTATATAGAGATTGTCACGATCCGGCCCGGTTAGCTCGTTGATACGAGGCGGGAACGAGATCGGACATGTAAATTAAGTACTCATCATCAGTTCCATGCAATTCTAAAGATATTCAAGAATAATAAAAGCGCCTTTAAACTTTCATGTCAATGTCACAGGTCTATCACAATGTACAAGATGGTAATAAAATTTTTCTTTTTTTTTGTCGCATACTCTGCATGCCATCCAAAATAACAAAATAACTACAACAACAAATACTACTAAAGACAGTAAAGGAACCTGTCACCCGGTGCGCGTCGTTTGTAGGTAAACCTCGGGTGATCAGCCATCACCTAAGAGTCGGGTCTCCTTAAAATTTCCCAAAACTAGGGAGTGAGCTACGCTCAGTAATTGACAATATGGCTAAAGTTGGTGTACATGTGGATTTTAAAACTACAAAACTACTCATGAACTATTAGATGTCTTAATGCATGTGAACCATGATATGCTTGCCTGAAACATAAATTAAGAGTTCTTGATACAAGAGAACATGAAATACTTGCAGATGTGTCATTTCATAATGTATACATCTGTCCCGGAGTACCGAATTGTACTGATCAGGACACATCGTTCATGGCCATTCATTTTCATTTCGTTCTGTATTGCCTCAAAGCCCGTATTTGCTCAAAGAGCCACTTCTTGGTACTCCGCATCAACAATCACAAGCAATATAGCATGAATATGATAGGAAGCTTTCATGTGACACTAAATAACCATTGTATGACTATGATCAGATGATTTCAACTATGATAAGATGCTTTCATAAGATACTAAGTAACCCTTTCATGATTTGACATAAGAAACATAACTATTTCATGGCTTGACATAAAAACTTTAATAAATAAATATAGTTATAATGAAATGCGCACTTTCCTTAGCCAATAAAGTCACTTACCTTTGAGAATTCGTGCTTGGAAAGTTTCCCGTACAAGTCCTCGCCTCCTTTCTTAATTTTAACCTAAAGGAAAACAAGAGATTTAAATCTCTCTATTGGTGTGGAAAGCTAATTCATGCACAAATCATGGGATTATTATTGCCACCTCATTAATCCTTAGGCTATCCTAGTTGTAATCAATTTTGTATTCATTTTCATTTCTTAATTGTTATATATTAACTACTAGATATTTACCTAGACTTGTTTAGGTATAACCCAAATGATGAAATGTAAGATTCAATCAATTCTCTAGTGTTTTATCAAATATTTAATTTAAAATTTTTTTTTAGATTTCCCTCTACCGTTAGTTCATTCAAAATGGTTTTTAGTAGTGGCAAAGCCAAAAAAAAAAATTCTGGCCGAGCCCAAATAAGTTTTTTCACTTATTCCCTCAACTTTTTTCATTTGGTTTTGATATTGACATTGGTAGTTTTAATTTTTTTTTGTTGAATTTATAATTTAAGAAAGATAAAATATTAAGTATAAAATAACAAAAAACATACGATTTATAATGTTTACTCTTTCAACTCCTGTAGAGAAATTATTAGAATGGGCTTAAAATTCATTAAATTTTTGTTTTCCTTTCTCTACTCGGTTTTGTTGATGTTCTAATTTCATTTTCATATTGCATTTCATTTTCTTTTATATAATTTCGTCTATTTAATTTTTGGATCAGAATATTAATCATAGTTTATAGACTTTGTAATTTATTTATTTATTTTTATATTTAATTTTTAATTATATTTTCTATAAAATATCAAAAATTTAAAGTTGATACAAGTTATCAACCTATTTAATTTAATTTTTTTGCTAATATTCATTCATTCAATGAAATATTCCACAAAGTTTCTTACAAATCTCACTCTTATTCTTCTTCTCTTCATCTGTAGATTACAAACTTTGTTGCGAACAATATAACGAGGAGTTGGCCTCAAGATCTGTATGAGAAGGTTGCCAGAAGCATTTGATAGGCACCAACGAGTATTGGTGAACGCCAGTTCTGGAACAGTTTTGTAGGTGTGCTCTGTTTCCTTGCAGGTATATCTACTGGCACGATAATTGTCGTCGAGTGAATTCTCATATTCTTACCTGGGAGGTGACGGGAAGCAGAGTTTATTTAGGCTTTTTTTTTTGGGTTGGAATTTGCTTGCCAGGTGGATCATTTTGTTTGAAAGGGAATAGTTGGGTGAGCTACTCATTCGAGTATCTAACTCTTTCTGCTTATTTATTTATATATTATGGTGGTGTTTTGAATCAGTAAATAAACTGTGAGATCATTTCATTAATTGTTTGCGTGTGTTAATGCCCCCCCAAAAAATGAAAAATATAATGGATTTGGTTTTATATGATTTTATTAATTGATCAGTGTTCATATATATTTTTTAATTTTCTAAATTTTTTTTATTGCTCCATGTTCATATTAATACATCATGTTATAAAATTAAGGATTTGTTTGAGATGGTTTTTTTATTATTTTTTGAAGTTGCTGCAAAGAAAATATATATTTTTAATTATTTTTAAAAATGGTTTTTAGTATAATTTTTTTAAAAAATAGTGAAAAAATAGTGGTCAAATTGAAATTATGGTTGCAGTTTGAAAAATAAAATATAAAAAAGTTGTTTTAAATTAAGTTTAAAGTTTTGTTTGAGATAGTTTTCTTATTATTTTTTAAAGTTATTTTTTAGTGCAAAAAATTATTAGTTTAAAAAATTTTATACTTAAAAATTATTTAAAGAAGTTGTAAGAAAGTTGTTCCAAATAAAGCTTAAGGTTTCGTTTGGATGGCTTTTTTATTTATTCTTAATGTATTTTTTAGTATATAATTTTTAATTTTTTAATTAAAAAGTTATTTTAATTAGCATTAAAAAAATTGTCTCAAACGAAGCTTAAGGAATGCACTTCCCCTTCTAGAAATGGGATGGATGGCAGGATTTAATTTTTTTTTATTTTTTTAACCCTGCTTTTAGTTGTAATTAGGGTTGTAATTAGATCAAGTTTATTTAAGTCAAAATCATAAAACGTCTTGAATTTTATTTGATAAATGGTTCATCAGCTTGATTATTTTGTCTATTTTTTTAACTAATTTGTTTTAAAAACATTTCATATAAAATATATCTGCCATATTTTGAAGTTCCAATATTTAAGAATTAAGTCCTTAAAAAATACAAATAAGTTCTCTATTTGATCTTAAAATTGCTTCATCTCTATTATTTTATTATAATACTTATTTGAATTGGAATAATTTGCTCTGTTAATGAGTTAATCTTTGAGCTGATTTTGCATAATTAATTTTGAGATTGCAGTTTAAACTTGATTAATTAATCGAAGCTAAATTAAAGGTTACTTTAGCTCTGCTTCACTCGTAAACGTACAATCCATCGTACTTAGATGTTTGTAGGATTATACTTTATTTAATTACAAAAAGGTCTCACATTTAACATAACATGCTCCGATTCGTAATTAAAATATTTATTAAACTTAAGAGTTTATTTGGGATAATTTTTTTAATTGTTTTATTTTTAAGTCATTAGTCCTAAATTTGTGATAGAAAAGTCCAATTTTATAAGATAGTGGTGAGACTTGCAATGCTTTATGGTGCTGAATGATGGCCATTAAAAGAGGCGTAATACTAAGTTATAAGTGTTGCAGAGATGAGGATGCTTAGGTGGATGAATGATTCTACCTTTAGAGATAGGATACGAAATGAGCATATACGTGAAAAGGTTGGAGTAGCGCCAATGAAAGATAAGATTAGAGAGACTTGCCTTAGATGGTTTGGTCACATAAAACGACGGTCTTTTGATGACCTGGCTAGAAAAATAGAGATATTAGATTTAACTTATAGTATACCTAAAAAGACTCGGTTAGAAAATATTAGAAATGATCTTTCTTTATTAGATTTAAACAAAAAATTGACTTTTAATATGACACAATGGAGAAAAAAGGATTCATGTAGTCGACCCCACGTAGTGGGACAAAGACTTGATGTTGTTGTCATAAATTTGTATGACGAAATATTTTCTTATTATTTGTTTTGCTGTTTTTTTTTATGATGAATTTTTCTTTTAATAAGAATAGATAAGTTATTTTCATGATAATACTTTCACAATCAATTTTATAAAAAAGCTATAGTTGTATCAAACAGATGCTAAATTGTACTCTTTTTATGTATGATTCAAACTAGAAAAAAGATTATAACAGAATATCTAATTTGAATCTCCATTATGATTTTTTTTTTTTGTAATTAAGTGAAGGGTTGGATAATCCTTAATTATTATAGATAAGAACAGCATATAAATGGTTTATTTTTTCATAATTGAATAATCTAACTTCGTACAGTTCACTGCTTGTTGCTTGTTCCTCAAAGTTAGCTTCAATTATTTTCTGTTGAAAACTCAACTGGATTTTCTGGTAGAATTCCACAAGGGAAGAAGACCCCTTTCATGATAATTGCATCTGCGTAATCATCCCTTATATTCATCTTTTTTCATTCTAATGATTAGGAATCAGTCCATCAGTCCTGAAATGGTATTGAAAAAGCAGTGATATATCATAAAAAAATTATCTGGATCAGGCACGAATCTCGAGGCAAAATCAGGTGGAAGCTTCAAAAATTAAATATGAGACCACCTGAACTCCGATATCAGCAAACTTACAGTCGAACTGAGCATCTCGGAAATACGAATCCAAAAACACCAAATTCAACTCAATCTGAGCCCAAATGTGTTTGAATCGAAGACCCGAAGCGCTGTTGGAAGGTTCAAACCACAATTTGGATTACCAAACGGTTTCCAAACATGACATGCTTAAAGTCAAATCGAGCGGCTCGACGAAACAAATCCAACGAGCCCAAGATCGTCGAATTCCAATATCATTAAGACTTTCAAATGTCTGACGAATGGTCCATGATCAAGGGATTTAATATCAGTTGTCCATCCAAACCACTCCACATTTTCCCTTGTTCGTCCTCATATTTACGGGTCATGCCATCCTCAAAAAACTATAAATGTTTTATATCTTTTTCTGCTTGTGTGGTAGATATCCGTACAACGATGAGACGAAAAATTCAAACTCTATTGCCGCATATATTCTAGCCTGCAACAAGCAGTATAAATGTATGCTTCGTTTGTGATAGTTTTTTTCCTATTTTTTAAAATAGTTTATAGTACAAAATTTTCTAGTTTAAGAAAGTTTTGTACTAAAAATCTACTTTAAAAAACAGTAAGGAAGCTGTCGCAAATGAAAACTTAGGCTTCGTTTGGGACGACTTTTTTACCACTTCTTAAAATAGTTTTTTAGTTAAAATTTTTAAAAAAATTTGTACTAGAAAGCTTCTTTAAGGCTTCATATGGGACGGCTTTCTTATTGCTTTCTAAAACAACTTTAAAGTACAAAATTTATAGTTGGAATTTTTTTGTACTAAAAAATTATATTAAAAAGCAGTAAGAAAGCCGTCCCAAACGAAGCCTTAATCTCAATCATCGAAGAATGTGATCATTAAGATTGTGTTCAGTGTCAATTAAGCTATCCCATCATTCATTTTATTTGGAAGAATAGAAAGAAATCCTTCAATAAGAAAGTGTTATTAAAAGATGAAATTAAATTCAGCCTCTATCATTCAAAAATGAAAACGACACTAAAACAGAGTAGTTTCTATGTGTGAGAATTTTCATCCTGCAAAAAATTTCAGTCAATTTGGTGGACTACAAAGCTTATTTTCTGCTGCAGATTCAAAATTTTATTGGACTTCAATTCAAGTTGATGTGAACTCACTCAAACTCGACTTAATGCCATCTAACTATCAACATCATTGGCAATTATCAATAATGATTGAGGTAGCAAAAGATTCAATGCCTCAATTTATGTTAGTAGCGGCTCGAGATGTGGCTCGTTGGTTAACGAAACTCGTTCCTTCCGTAAGAGCCGCGCTCGAATTGCTCAAACGACAACAAAGAAAAAAAAAGAAGTTCTTTTCATTTTAAATCATTGCAAACTTTCTTAATTTACATCATTTAACATCCCATGAAAATTGCACCTATTATGATTATAGTAGCATATTTCTTAGAAGTTCTTCCCTAATCAATAATAATACCTCAAGTAGCTTTTCATCCTACACCCTTAAGCTGAGAAAAAAGTTTTTTTTTTCAGAATTACAAATTTGACATCATGTGAGTTTATTGTATATTTTCCTTAAAATAACTTAGTAAAAAAAAAAAAACATCAAACTTAATTAAGTATTGACTAAAAATATTTCGATTGAGTATTAAACAAAGTCAAATAGCACAATAGGCAAAATTAGTCACATGTTAAATAATTGCTTATTTAGTTTTAGAATCATACTAAGCTTTAGAACAATAATAACTCTTATGGGATACCTTTTAGGGTTTCAAAATATTTCTGCTAAGTCTCCCAATTGCTCAATTGATGGCACATCTTATGTATCATCAATTGAGAACTTGGAAGATCTAGCAGAAATGTCCCGTGATTCTATAGTTGAATTGAGGTGGAAGTTTTTTGAGAGAGACCTCTATGTTAAGCACGTAAATGCATCATAATTTTTACTCGTGCCTCCAAAAAAGAAGGGATTAAATCCAACATATTTCATAATTATTTAATATTTCCAAGACGCTTAATGTGTGGTAGGCGAGATGCATGATTCCTAGGCATCACACAAATTAGATAAGATCTTGAATCATATGAGAGAAAGTATATATTGAGATGAGTTGGCCTACTGATAGAATGTGCCAAGAACATTAGCTAATTTTCAAGATGAATATATAGATTCCTAAGAGCAATGGATGAATGCCCCAATATATATGAAGCGACTTACTAGGTGAGCTTATATAAACCTTTAAATTTTAATGCTTGTTTAGGTCTTCATAAGAAGTTAAAAAATACTAAATGACACAAAAATGTTAAACATTATGATTAAAGTTATTGGAGAATAATATATCATCATTAGAACTATAATGAGAGATTAAAATAATGAAGATGTAGATTTTGCTTTGTAAAAAGGGTGCTTAATATGAAGAGACATAAATAGTTCATAAGCAAAGAGAGAAAGATAACTAAAAGCTATGAAAAAATGTATATATATGCAAAAAGCCCAATTGTTTCGACTGATAAAAAATGACTCAAGTAGTTAGATAAAGTCATTAAATAAAGTGGACAGGAGATGAGCTTGAAAACTATTTTTTAGCACTAATTTAAACAAATCTTGACACCCATATGTGCAAATGATCTCTATGAATATAATTGATACTTTAGCATATGTTTTAGAATAGGTTATTATATTTAATTCTTAGATAAAAAATGATGTAAGATATTCTTTTGGTAATGCAATTTTTGATCCCTCATTGTTGATTAAGGCATAATAGATTGAGGCTCAAGTAGATCTAAAATGAGCCCAATCTAACCCATGTAATCCATAGATTGGCCGGAAAGTTAATATGCTCCGGGGTCAAAAGCATTTGTTGTAATACAATTTTTAAATAAATTTGCTTATTGTTATTATTATTATTTTGTAACTCTTTGCAATAAGCCCAAAGTGACAATAATTAAATACTCTCAACTTGTGACTATCTTTATTGGTAGTCTCATATATTATTTTGCAAACACAACTTTCATGATCACAACATTTGCATTTGTATTAAAATTGCTAAAAGACATTAGTGATATGAAAAATGCTTTTTACAACCAATAAATGGTCACAATATAACCAATGCATTTATATAGTGATAGATTTTGTCATTTGTCATTTTTCTCTTAGTATGTATTGTTATATGTAATTATGGATGTGACGCAACTTATGAAATTCAATTTTGAGATCAACAAATGACATGAGAACGATATTATTTGGGTAATGCAATTTAGGACACTTCAAAGTTGACTAAAGTGTAATAAATTTGAGTTCATAATAGGCCAACTACGTACCCTTAATGCTAGCCATTTGCAATCTAAAATAGTCGTCCAATCTGACCCATGGAGGCCATAAATTGGTCACCGATGTAAGGTGTTCCAAAAAGGGGGCCAACAATAGTGATCATAATGCAATATCGTGGATAAATTTTGAAACATTTGCAATGAGCCAAAATAGATAGTAACTACTGACCACCCTCTTTAGGGGTTCTAAATAAAATTTCAACCAATATTTATGCAATTACATTTGCATTTGTATTATCAAACACAAAAGGACATCAATCATATCAAAAGCGGTCTTTTGTGTATGGTAAAAAATCGTAAAAATGTGCATTAATATTGAGTTGAATCAAATTAATTTTTAATGACTAGAGTATCAAGAAAAAAAACAAACAATCTTTGATTATGAGTATATTAAAAATCATACAATTAACAAATGAGTTCCAAAAATTGAACATAATATCATCCTTAATCACAACAAAAAATCATATAAATATATGTATATATTCAGAACCAATACATCACTTGGTCAAACCGCTAGCCTAACACAACCAAACTCCCTCTAACTCTCAACAATCCAACTTTCTTCCAACTACCAATTCCCTTCTCTGAAACTTAGCATATCAGCAACCATTTGCAGATTCCTTCACCCCAATCAAACAGCTCAATTTCTCACCCCTCCATCTCCTCCCTCCCCTTCCCCTCTCCTCCATGGAAGACCACTCCGTCGAACTCATAACCACTCCACTCTCCTCCTCCTCCTCCTCCTCCTCCTCCCTCGCCTCCTCCTCCTTCTACCTCTCCACTCCCATTCTCCCCGCCTCCCACAAACTCACCATTAAAAACCTCTCTTTCTCCCTCGGCCACCTCGCCTCTTGCCCTTCCTCCTTGCCTTTCAACCATCCAAAGCCCACTGAAGTCCTCAAATCCATCTCTTTCTCCGCACAAAGTGGCGGCGAGCTGCTCGCCATTGTCGGTCCCAGCGGTGCCGGCAAGTCGACTCTTCTTCGCATCGTCTCCGGCAGAGTTCAACGCTCCAGCTTCAATCCCAACAGCATTTCATTTGATGGAATGCCCCTAAAGAGCCCCGGCCGGCTGCGGCGGCTCTGCGGGTTTGTTACTCAGGAAGATAATCTCTTGCCTCTGCTCACTGTGAAGGAGACTCTCATGTTCAGTGCTAAGTTTCGGCTTAAAGGTGTTAGCAGTAAGGAGAGGGAAGAGCGTGTCAGAAGCTTAATGGAGGTAGGTTTATCTCTGGTTGGGAAAAAAAAATCTTTCAGGGAATTTTTGCTGAGGAGGTTCTTTCGATCATTGGATTTGAATGGGAATAAATGCAATTTCTTTGGAGCATTAAAAAAATCACATTTACTTAATTGAGTAGGAAAACAAATTTGTGTTACAATGTTTTGAGAATTTTTTTATTATAATTAGGAAATAAATTATCAGAATTAGAATATATGAGAAATTAGTTTGTGTACTTGTTAGTTTTTGTTAATATTAAAAGATGTTTTTATTTTTTATTAATATTGGAAAATAATTAATCAAATAAATAAATTATTTCAATTCATAAATAATTTAATTTGAGATTATTATGATAATTATGTCAAGCCTAAAAGTACAAATATAAAATTATTAAATTAAATAGTTAGTTTTATTGTAAAAATTGGCTTGAGTTGAAATGATTAAGGGGGTTGCAAATAAATTTAAAATTTATAATATTATATATAATAAAATTATTTAATTAAAATATATTCAATAAAATTTTATCATGTGTTGTATCAAAATTTAAAAATAATGAAATTGTGTGAATTTAATAAAATATATGTGTATAATGAGATAGTTAAATTTTAATTGGAATTATTTTATTCAAATTATATTACATTTCATATCCATATTTTATGGTAATTAAATGATTTAATGGATAATTTTAATTGATGATAATTAAATATTTAAATATCTATAAGTAAAATTTTATTACAGAGTATTTTGATTATATAAATTTAAAAAGTATTAAATTTATTTTAAAATTATTATTATTTAAACTCTTTATATGTAATATTAATATTAAAATAAATATAATGATTTTTAAAATTATCTTGTGATAATTTATAAAATATTTTATATAAATTTTTTTCATGTAATTATATATTGTATGAAATATTTTTTTTGCCAAATAATTAGTACATAAATTACTAAAAAAGCTAGGATTTTATTAGAACAACTTAGATTTTTTTTATAACAACTTTCTTATTATTTTTTAAAATAATTTTTTAATAAAAATTGTATTAAAAAAATTACATTAAAAAGCTATAAAATAGCTTATTACGTACTCCGACCGGATGCAGAGGAACATCCGGTTGTAGGCAAAAGCGCGCCTATACCGAGGTGTATCGTGTTCGATACACCTCGGTATAGACACGTTTTTGCCTACAACCGAATGTTTCTTGCATTCGGTCCCGGACCAAATAAAATTCCGTGACAAATGAACTTCTGAGAATTATATTTGAATTCAATTTATTTAAAAAAATTATATAATACATTAACGGTCACCTCAAAGAATCAATTCCTATAATAAAGAAGCATTGACAAAAATTTTAAAATTTGCATAAAGATTCTATCCGATCCAACACGAACTTTAAACTCATAAATGCAGGAGCTTGGCCTCCATCACATCGCCAACTCCTACGTCGGCGACGAGGAGATCCGCGGCATCTCCGGCGGCGAGAAAAAGCGCCTCTCTATCGGCGTCGACGTCATTCACAACCCGCCCATCCTACTCCTCGACGAACCCACCTCCGGCCTCGACAGCTCCTCTGCTCTCCAAGTCATCGACCTCCTCACCTCCATGTCAAGGAAAAAAAATCAAATTTTGATCCTCACCATTCACCAACCGAGTTACAGAATCCTCAAATACATCTCCACCTTCCTTCTCCTCTCTCGCGGCAGAGTAGCTCACTTCGGGGACCTCTTATCACTCAAATCCTCCATTTCCAACCTCGGCTACACGGTCCCACTCCAGCTCAACCCTTTAGAATTCGCAATGGAAATCATCAATCAATTAGAAGAACAGAATACTACATTGGCCAACTGCAACGCTTCAGAAGAAACCGGACAAGCCAACCTCCAGTGTACTGTAACTATGAAGAAGAAAAACAACTACTGCTCGAGATTTAATGAAGTGGGTTCTCTCTCATGGAGGTTTTGGAAGCTCATGTACAGAACAAAGCAGCTCTTTTTAGCAAGAACAGCTCAAGCCATCGTGGGCAGCTTCAGCCTCGGCAGCATTTATTTCAACCTGAAATCAAACGAAGAAGGCGTAACAGAGAGGCTGGGATTCTTAGCCTTCACACTCAGCTTCCTCCTCTCCTCAACCGTGGAAGCTCTGCCGATATTCCTACAAGAGCGCCGCGTTATAATGAGAGAATCTTCGAGGAAAATGTACAGACTTTCTTCTTACATGTTGGCCAATACAGTTGTTACAGTACCCTTCTTGCTAGTAGTGGCTATCCTCTTCGCTGGTCCTGCTTACTGGCTCGTTGGACTGAACCCGAACCTTGAAGCTTTCTTGTTCTTCGTAATGGCGGTTTGGTTAATAGTGTTGATGGCGAGCTCGCTTGTTCTGTTCCTGAGTGCAGTTGCGTCAGATTACGTGGTCGGAAACTATCTAATCTGCTTGTTTTTAGGGGTTTTCTTCTTGTTTTCTGGGTATTTTATAGGGAAGGAAAGCTTGCCGAAGTATTGGTTGTTCATGTATTACGTCTCTCTGTATAGGTATCCGTTGGACGCTTTGGTGGTTAATGAGTATTGGAGTGAAAAAGATAGGTGTTTTAAGTGGTTGCAGGGAGAAGAAAATTCGGTTTGTGTGATGAACGGTGGAGATGTGTTGAGGAGTAGGGGTTTGGAGAGGGATATTAGGTGGGAGAATGTGGGGATTATGTGTGGCTTCTTTTTGATTTATAGGGTATTGTGTTGGGTGGTTTTGGTTAGAAGGAGTTCAAGAACCATGCTTTGAAATTAGTGAATTGTTTCTCTATATGAATATTGTTTTGCATCATTAATTATTATGAAATTGTTATTGTCTTAGAACAATATTTTGTATGCTATAATATATTATTCTTGATTACTTAGAGAGAGAGAAAGTTATCTTTGATCTATAATATTAGGTTTCGTTCAAGGTTGCTTTCTTAGTGCTTCTTAAAACAGTTTTTTACTAGAAAGCTGCTTTAAGAACCAGTAAGACAGCTGTCTCCAACGGAACCTTAATCTTTTTCTGTCATTTATATATTCAATCTTATATCTTGTAAATGATTTGTCTGTTTCAATTTTATCGAATATATTGAAGAATTATTGTAAATCAAGTTCTCATTGATGATCTCTCCTCAAATGAAGGCTTTATTTGGAGCTGCTTTCTTACTGTTTCAACAAAGAGATTTCTAATATAAAAATTTAAAATGTTGTACTAAAAAACTACTTTAAAAAATAGTAAGAATGTCGTCCTGAAGGAGGCCAAAGTTTCAACAATTTTGCACTCTCACTTAAAAAATCTACTAAATTTCAAAAACAATTTCATAATTTTGCGAAGAATAAAGATAATTATTCCATCTTATTTGTAATACACGTGTGAATCCACGTGTGATCATTGATAGCAATTTGTTTATCAGAATTGTTACCTAAACTAATATTTTATGCAAAGTATCTCGCCCTTAGATGTTCGGTTTATCAGATAAATAAGTTGGGAAATCTCCTCAATAAATTTCTTAATAAAATGCTACAAATAAGATCTTAGTAATTTTGGTTTTTTTTTTAAAAAAAAAAAATTTACAGAAAAAGATGCCCCATTTCCCAATAAAAACACAGCAATATAGAATTTTTCATTTTCAATTACTCCATATAAAATAAAATAAATGTAGAATAATTTTGTAATATTTTTTACAAACAATTTAAAATAACAAAAAAAAAAATCATTTTGATAAATTTTTAATTCTCCTACAACAACAACAAACAACAACATCAAGCCTTTGTCTCAACCTTTGTCCTCGGCTACATGAATCTTTTTTTCCATTGCGTCCTGTTGAAAGTCAAATTCTCGTTTAAATCTATTAAACAAAGACAATTTCTAATATTTTCTAACCAATACTTTTTAGGTCTGCCTCTATCTTTTCTAACATAAATCAAATCTCATACCTCTACTTTTCTAATCGGGTCATCATAATTCATAAGGCCTTCGTTTTATGTGAACTTCTTAAATTAATTTCCAAATATTATGTCATCACAAGCTACCACCCCAATTTTAAGGAACCCTAATTTTCTATTTAAATTAACTTTTAAAAATAAAAATCACCTGATATTGCTCTCCTATCTTCAAGGAAGCATCTCTCTCATAAGTTTTATTTCAACTATTATATTTATAGTGAACTTTTATTCTATTAAAAATTTGTAATCCATTTTTATTTTAACACATAGACCGCTCTCTGATGAATTATCTCTCTCTCTTTTTCTCTATAATTTTTATTATATTATAAATAAAAAAATAAATATTACTTACATATTCAAATAGTCGATTAAATAAAAATTGAATAAAAATTTATAATTTATTTTACCATCAATCAACCAATCTTTCTATTTAATTTACATTATATTCTGAAATACATAGAATCCTAAATACTCACAAAAGCAGAGCAGAAAGATGATAAAGAGCCCAAACTGTGATAATCATATTGTTATTTAATGCTTCAATAAGGTTTTGTTTGGGAAGACTTTCTTGTTGGTTCTTAAAATAACTTTTTAGTATAAAAATTTTCATTTTTAAACTAAAAAGTTATTTTAAGAAGTAATAAAAAAGTCTTCCAAAACGAAGCTTAAGCTTGAAATACATAGAGCTTCTACTTCTAATAAACATTTAGGCTTCGTTTGAGACAACTTTTTTAGTGCTTTATAAAACAACTTTTTAGTATAAAATTTTTTTGAACTCAAAATTTTTATACTAAAAAGCTGCTATAGAAAGTACCAACAAAGTTGTCCCAAAAAAAACCTAAGACATTCAGAATGCAACCATCCGCTCCCCTAATCAACATTTCCTCCATAATCCAACTAAAGAGGGAAATCATGAGAAAGGCATTGCATGAAAACAGCTGCAACTGAGCTCACATAGGAATATTCAAAAGAAAAGAAGAATGATGGGTCTCATAGAAGAAAACAATCTTTATTCACATAAGGAGAAATTGAGAGAAGGTGATAAAGCTATACTGCCTTTTAAAAAGAGAGAGAGAGAGAGAGAGAGAAAAAAAAAAACTATATAAGACCAATGGAAGGAAGATCAACATGCAATACCAATCCTATAATATAAGTACTCTTACTCATTTGTACTATCAAAACTCTTTGGCATAGTTGCTCTCTTTCTCTCCCTCCAGTTTTCTCCCCAAACTTTGGCCTCTGCTATTGCACGCTCTCTGTCAGCATCCCTGTTGAGAGCCTTTGGAGAGTCTCTTGGTTTAGCAAGATGGTTTGGGCTATCTCGATGGGATTCCTGTCTCTCGAGCTCCTCCAAGCCCCATTTTCTTCCAGGGGTGCCATCAGAATCAGTTCCCAAGTTCATCCCTTTGATAGAATCCCTCAGCCTGAGCTTAGGAGAATCTCTATGCGGCGAATCTGTGGCACTTTTACTGTCAGAGCCGCTTCCATGGTTTTTCCGCTCGTCTCTGGACCTTGGCGTAGAAGGCCCTACTCTGCTACTTTGTGTTGCAGGAGCATTGGGATCATAAGTTTGCGAAGCCAAGTACGAGAGAGCGGTGACGACATCACCGATCAGAGGCCGGGTTGCAGCTTGCTCCTGCAAACACATAGCAGCAACAGCTAGTGCTTGGTAGAGACCTCTCATGGGATAATGGCCTTGCAGCAATGGGTCAGCCATTTTTGGGAACTTGCGTCGATCTTTGAATAACGGACGAGCCTGCATTGAATACAATATGATCATACCAACTTAGAAATCCAAAAATGACTGCAGAAGTTATGGAATGAATCAAAACAGCTGATAACTTGAGCACATGTTATTTGCTTCTTTATATAGTTGAAAACTTTGCAGCAACAAAAAAGGAATGACTAAAGTTGCTAAGCAGTGATGGGACCAATATTCCTTTCCTAAAGAAGATACAGAGAGAGAGAGGTAGAAGTAATGGAGAAAACCCACCCAAGCCACAAGATTTTGCTCCCCGGCAGGTCGGGTGTTGTCGATTGCTTTCCGCCCTGTGATCAACTCAAGGAAGACAACACCAAAGCTATAGACATCAGATTTGAGGGTAAGCTGCCCTGTCATAGCATACTCTGGAGCACAATATCCATATGTGCCCATAACCCTTGTGGATACATGAGTCTTATCGCCAACTGGACCAAGTTTTGCTAATCCAAAATCTGACAGCTTTGGATGATATTCTTCACCAAGCAGAATGTTTGAGGATTTGAAATCTCTGTAAATTACTGGAGGATTTGCCTTATCATGCAGGTATTCTAACCCTTTAGCTGCACCAGCTGCTATCTTCATCCGTGTATTCCAGTCAAGGGGTTCTTTGTCGGATGGGAGATCTAAAAAAAAGCCAATCAGTTAATGTACAAAGTAACTTGCAGATCCTGAGAAAAAAAATTGTTAGTTACTGAACGAAGGGAAAAATCAGATACCTGGAACCTCAACATTATATTGACTTGAAGAGAGAATATACATATATAGACTTTTTCTATTTCTAGGAAAAGAAAGTTTATTTTCCCACCCGCCTAAATTTTCTAACATTGGATTGAAGTTATCATGGCTACCAATTTCGTTAGGTCCACTTCTGCTGATCAAGTGGGGAAACACAAATACGAGTAAATGTAATGCAGTGCTACATAGCGACCAAGATTACAATGATGGTTAAAATTGAAGCACTTCAGCCATATGGCCATGAAATTTGAAGCAAGTCGTGGTGATGTGCAGGGCAAGGAGCCTGATGATGGCGATGCAATGGTGGGCAATAACCCTCATTTTTTATGGGGTGTGCTACTCACAAAAATCTATAAATAGACCCCAACTTTTTACATGAGGGGAGATCTTTGGCTAAAGATTGGAGAAAGCTCTGAAGCTTCAAAAGCTCAAGCATCACCGTCGACGAACCTCCGTCGTTGGACCACCGCCTGGCCACCAATTGATGACAAACCACCACCCAGCCATTGGCAGCCAAAGGATCACCGCCTGTCCGCCGACCGCCGCCACACTTCCACACAGCTGTCCACTGCCGGCGAACCTTCATCAACCGTCGCTGGACCACCGCTCGCCGCCGATTGTTGCCGGATCACCACCCTGCGGTCGATTGTTGTCGGACCACCGACCAGTCACCGGCCTCCGCCAAACTTCCTCCCGGCCGTCGACTACCACCAGACTTTCACCCGGCCGCAATTGCCGCCACCTCCTGCGGCCAACCATTGCCAAACCTCCGTCAAGCTTCCATCGACACACCACTTCGACCACCGTTGTCCTCCGACTACGGTCCCTCCGACCACCGTCGACCATAAACTACGGTCCCTCCAACCTCCGTCGCCTGCCAACTACAGTCCCTCAGACCTTCGTCACCCGCTGACTACGCTACGGTCCCTCCGACGACTATCACTAACCGACTTACGATCCCTTCGACCTCCGACACCAGCCGATTATGGTCCCTTCGACCTTCGTCGCCTACCGACTATGGTTCCTCCGACCATCTTCGCCCACCGACTACGGTACCTCTGATCACAATCACTCATAAACTGCGGTCCCTCCGACCTCTGTCACCATCCAATTATAGTCCCTGAGACCTCCGTCACCCGCTGATTACAGCCCCTCCAACCACCATCGCCCGCCTGCTACAGTCCCTTTGACCTCCGCCACCCGGCGGCTATGGTCCCTCCAACCACCGTCACCCTCCAACTACGGTTCCTTCAACCTCCATCAATTGCTGACTACAGTCCCTCCAACCACTGTCACCTCCTGACTACAGTCCTTCCAACCACTGTTGCCATCGAGTACAGTCCCTCTGATCTTCATTGCCCAAATACAGCCTTGGCAACCAAATGAACAGGCCAACATTCTTTTGAGAATGTCTCTCTTATCATTAGATTCTTCCAACTCCAACTATATAATGTGTTCTATATGATACATTGAGTTAATGACTTCCCCCCACAGAAAGGCACCATTTATAATTAACTACAAATACAAGTGGAATCATTTTAACTGGGTCAGGCCCCGTGGTTTTTCCCATTTTCAGGATTTTTCATATAAAACTCTTGGTATCTCTTATGAATCTGATCAAGAAGGGTGTTGACAATGACAATGAGTTAAGGAATCATATAAGGTCGTGGTTGTGTTAGGCAATAACAAGGAAGGTCATATCAAAGGGAATGAGAGAGACGAAGATTAGTTGCTCATTCATGACATTGTCAAGAAGAGTGATTTGGTGTCTGCAATGATGACAAGGAAGGCGAGTATTTTGACTGACAAGATGAGGAAGGCAACATGCTTATACTCCAATGATGGCATGCATTTGTTCCATACCAAGCTTCGACTTCTTTAGCGATGAATAATTAAATTATAGTAAAAATTTATTAAGATTATATAAAATCATACTGCTAGAAAAAAAGAAGGGGGAGATGGAGACTTATCTCTTATGGAAAAGTTCATCTTGAGGGAGAGAAAAAGATGAAGTGAGACTAAAGGAAAGAAGGGCAATTAACTAATAACATTGAATTAGAATGTCCAATTTGAGAGACTGAGAGATGGGGACCCAAGAAGGTTAGAAAGGATTATTTTGTTGTCAACCTTTGCTTGTGATAAGGTTTAGGTCAAGTTTTAGAGAGAGATAAATAAGGTGACTAGAAAATGAGAGGAAAGGAATGGTGAGTTTCTTCTTCTTTTGGGATTTTAGTCAAGTGAGAAGCTTGCCAATTGGTAACTTCTTTATCTCTCTCTCTCTTTCTTCCTCTTATCTGATTTATCATTATTGGTTGAAAGTGTGATTAGTTCCTTTCAAAACTTCTACAATTTGGGTGGGCAATCAAGAAGAGTGCTGACAATGACTAATTGGGTGATGGTGGGGGGGTGCAAGAAAGGTACTGATAATAATAATGAGTTAAGGAATCATACAATATCTTGGTTGTGTTGGGCAATGACAAGGAAGGTCGTTTTAAAGGGAATGAGGGGTACGAAGACTAGTTACTCCTCAATCATGACATTGTCAAGAAGGCTGATTTGGTCAAGGAAGGCATATGATGATACGACTAGGATTTTGACTGACAAGGTGAGGAAGGCAACAAAGCTTATACTCCAATGATGGCATGCATTTGTTCCATAACAAGCTTCGATTTCTTTAGCGATGAATAATTAGATTATTGTACAAACTAATGAAGATTATATAAAATCATTCTGCTAGAAAAAATAAGGGGGAGATAGAGACTTTACTCTCGAGGGAGAGGAAAAGATAAAAGTGAGACTAAAGGAAAGAAGGGCAATTAACTAATAGCATTGAATCAGAATGTCCAATTTTTTAAGAGACAGAGAGATGGGGGACCCGAGAAGCTTAGAAAGGGATATTTTGTTGTCCAACCTTTGCTTGTGATAAGGTTTAGGTCAAGTCTTAGAGAGATAAATAAGGTGACTAGGAAATGAGAGGGAAGGAATGGTGAGTTTCTTCTTCTTTTGGAATTTCAGTCAAGTGAGAAGCTCGCCTTTTGGTAACTTCCCTCTCTCTCCCTCTTGTTTCCTTTATCATTATTGGTTGAAAGTGCGATTAGTTCCTTTCAAAACTTCTACAATTTGGCTTCTTTTCTATTCATGAAATTCAATCACTTCTGTGGATTTCATAATCTTTCTCTTATTACTAATTTTTATCAGAGACAAATATTTTGAATTAGATTTAAACTATTTTTTATTTTCATAAAAAATATCAAATTATTAATTTGAGATTAATAGCTTGCTTTTCCATGAGTGTGTTTCATTAATTGATTGCATAGTTGCATACTAGATGTGTATTAGAAACCTAGACCTGAGAATGCCTTAACATTATTTTTCGTATCAAAGTTGAAGGTTATATCATAGTGTTTCTACACGTAGGTTTCATGAGGTTTATTGAAAAATAAAAAAAATCTAAATAGATCTAAAATAACAATTAACTGAAACATAACTTAACATAAAATCAATCAAGATATGAGTCTACACAGTTTCATTTTTCAGCACGACCACTATGAAATATGAGATAATGTTTATATTAGATGGAATACAAGACTTTAAATCATTTTAAGATTGGATTGATAAATTAAAAAAATAATTTGAATGATATAATATTTTTGAATTTCAAATAGTTGAATTTGCTGATGTAGAACGCATCCAATTATTGAACTTACAATCAAACAAAAGTTAAAACATTAATCTGAAGTTGAAATCATAAATGAACTAGGAAATTCCTGACTTCAAAATCAAACAAATCAAATAATGTAACGTTGATTAACGATATGCCCATTATGATCATGTAATGCCTGAGAAAATTTTCACATATTATGCTTTATATTGACCGACAAAATCTATATCAATTTTTTTTCTTGATTGTTTGATTTATAAATTCATAAAAAAAAACCTTATTTATCATATTCAATTACATCAACAATTTTTGAGAAAAATTAAAATTTATGGTCTATTTAGGACAGCTTTCTCAATTCTCGTTGCTTTGCTTTTCAAAGAACAACCACAATTTCGTTTGGCTACTACTTTCTCATTGTTTTCCAGAGATTTTTATGAAGCAAACCTACTTTTTGCAACTAGAGTAACTAAGTTAGCTTTCCTACAACAATTTTGCAACCATTTTATAAAATGCTACAACTGACCCAATCATACCCTTAAAGCTACATGTCAAACTAAATTCAGAAGTGCATTATTTATTATAGTTGCACTTTAAACAATTTTATTATTTTCTATAAAGAAAGTATTTATTCATATGATGCATACATCTTATTCAAATCAAACATTTATTTGGTTTGTCAAACATTTATTTGGTTTGTCAAACATTTATTTGGTTTGTCGATTAACCCAAAAAAACTAAGATGAATCTTAAACATATTTTTAAAATTTTCATACGATTGCTTCATAGTTCATCTCCATTAATTATTTTACTTATCCTTCATTATTGTGTAATTCAAACTACCAGCTATGTTGTAGTAAAAATTGAAATGCACTTTGAAGTAAATATGTCTCTAATTCTTTTTTTTTTAATTGATTTTGCATCTTGTATGATGTCTTATGAATATTATTATTTACCACAAAAAAGTACCTGCACATCATTGCAAACCACCTGTAGCCAAGACGTCTCCTATGAGCTCTTTCCCACACCTACTACAACTAGTGTGACTCTTCCCTTTCATCAATGACAAGTCAAGGCGCCCTAAAGAACAATTGAATAAGTGCAAAACACAGATTTCACAAGCATCTTTCCCATGAATGAAGCTCTTCAGCCCACTCTTTACTCTTGCAATCTTCTCACCTGTCCCTCATACGCTCTTTCCTCTCCAACAATCCTCTTCTTGAAAACTTG